GCCACCTGGGCTGTATACCTGATTCGATTTATGACCTTGGAGCTTCCTGCAGCTCTTGCCTCCTCCCCCCTCTCCTCCGTGTCTTCCTTCTTCCCTAGCTCTTTTATCTTTTTCTATTTTTGCCACTACCATCACTATTTAAAGGTAAAGCAAGGAAAATAGTAATAATACTAAAAAATAGGTTCATAGCTGCTCCCTCTCATTCTCAGGATGGTTTTTTTTTTTCTTTGAGACAGAGCTTCAAGCTGTCACCCTGGGTAGAGTACATGGCATCACAGCTCACAGCAACCTCCAAATCCTGGACTCAAGCAATTCTCCTGCCTCCGCCTCCCCAGTAGCTGGGACTACAGGTGCCTGCCACAATGCCTGACTATTTTTTGATTGCAGCTGTCATTGTTGTTTGGCAGGCCTGGGCTGGATTTGAACCTGCCAGCTCAGGTGTATGTGGCTGACACCTTAGCTGCTTGAGCCACAGGTGCCAAGCCTCAGGGTGGTTTTGATTTGCATTTCTTTGATGACTAGGGGTGATAAGAATTTTTTCATGTTTGTTAAACATTCATCTGTTTTCTTCAGAGAAGTTTCTGTCCATGTCTCTTGCCCAGTGATAGATGAGATTGTTTGCTCTTTTTTTTGTTGATTAATTTGAATTCTCCATAGATTCTAATTATCAAACATCTTTCTGATTCATAATTTGCAAATATTTTTTTCCCATTGTGAAGGTTATCTATCTATTTGCTTCAATTGTTGGGTTCTTAGCTGTGAAGAAGCATTTCAGTTTAATTAAGTCCCATTCACTTATTTTTGTTGTTTATTGTAATTGCCACTGAAGTCTTTTTTTTTTTTTTTTTTTTTGGTTACATGAATTGCTCTTGTACAGTTGGGGTCAGAGTTATACGTGTGCCCCTCACCTGGGTGTGTAATGTGCCCTTTCGGTGTGAATTTACCCCTTCTCTCCTGTCCCTCCCCCCTGGTGGCTTTTCATTGAGTTTTACTACCAAACTTGCACATAGGTCCTGATCAACTAGTTCTGATTAAATAGTGAACACATGTGGTTTTTTTTTTTTTTTTTT